AGAAATGATGACATAGAAATTTATGTACCTGTGAGCCTGTGAGCCTGTGAGCCTGTGAGCCAATCAATTGAAAAAGTAGGGCAGTTTGGTCATACCACCCATTTGCGTCATCATTTTCCTGAGTAAAGTTGGTCATTTTCAGAGGTTAAATCCACCATGTTGAATCCACCATGTTCAGTCACACCCAAAAAAAGTTGTTGGTGACGTGGGCCCCCATGATTTCCGTGAAAAATCCCAATTTTGCTTGTAAATCCACCCACATATTAAAATCATTAGATCATGTTCCCATTTAGCCAATTTATCCACATTTATCCCCACGATATCCCCATTTCCTCCATCAGTTCTTCTTGTAACTCGTAACTCGTGGTGAAAAACCCAGGTTGGAGCCTGTACCCCGGGGCCGCGAGGTGCTGCAGAACTTTATGGGAAACCGCTGGCTTTGGAAGATGATTCTGGAATATGATATTTAATATGATGGTCATTTTCAGTTTTCATATGATTTCACAGGTGCTAGTGGGTGCTAGTGGGTGCTAGTGACTGCTAGTCATAGGGCTGGGGATAGGTGCCTGATTTCTCAGACCATGGTTGACATCCGACATGTTGGACATCTGTTTCCATGATCTGATGCGGAAAGGAGCCCATCATGGCAGGGCCAGCTGGGCTCTCAGCAACTCCATGATTTGGGGATATCCAATGGGCGTGCTTTCAGTGTCTTCAGATCTTTATTTTCAGGTATTTACTTAGGTATTTGAAGTTACTTGCATGTTAGTTGTGCAGAGGCTTGTTTTAGAAGGAATTTGGTAGGCCTTTTTCTGACAGCTTCAAGCAGCAACGTCAAAAAAAGAGTCCTTTTTGCTCCACCAAGAGGTAGTTCCTGGCTTGGCGACAGGCCGACCTAGCTTCGGGGGTGATGCGGTGATGCAAAAGATCTGCTGGTTTCGATACACATCCTGCAGCATATACTCTATTTGTCAACATGGACATGCATTGATAATCATTCAGAATTCATTTACATTATATATACGTATATATATATATAATATATATACAATATATATATATAATATATAATATAATATATAATATAATATAATATAATATAATACAATACAATATAATATAATATAATACAATACAATACAATACAATATAATATAATATAATATAATATATATATATATGAAATATACACATATCATTAATTATCATCAATTATCATCACATATCTATGCACATCTGCAGTTCCAGCCTCCAGGCGGATTGTAAGCTAACACTGGAGCCTGGTTGTCAGGTTGTCAGGTTGAGCAACTTGAAGTGGTGGAACCATGTGAAACTAATTCTCGCCAGGGTCCAATGTGGCCGCCCAAGCAGGAGACAAACCGTGCAGTGCCGTTGTGCTTGATGGGGATGCTTAAGGAGTTGAGCAGGTATCTTACATGGCTCAAGTGGCTCAGGGTAGGTCAAGTGAGATCCTCAAATTTCATGACAGGAAAGGTTTGCAACTCAGAGTTTTTGAAGGTCTTGGCGGTGTAGCCCAACACTGAATTGTGTGATTTTGCGTCAATCCTTGCCGTGCGGGATCTATTCGTGTGTGGGAAGGCACTGCTCTCGCTGATTCTTTGTGGGGCTACACTGCGCGCGCGCGTGCACACACACACATACACACATACACAAATCACTAGTTTAGGTTTAGTCTGAACTTTGCAGTTGAAGCCTTCTTGACCAGCTTAGTTTGAAGGAACATGTACAGACATCTCTTCCGCAGTGAGAGTTGAGTGGACGAACCACATTGGTCAAGGCCTCTACATTTTTGATTTCAGGACATCCCCTGAATGTGTGAGCCAACAGTGTGACCAAACTCTGACAAGATATTCCGCTAGGATGGGGCAAGAATGTCGACATGGTGGCTTTAACGAAAAGCAGGGCTGCTCGGAACTTTTTTTGGAAAATGCCAGCCTGTCAGACTGTCAGCAATTTCTGGTCCCAATCACCATAATCACCGAGGCATCAACTCGTTGAACTTGGAGCCGGGCCCACCCAAGCAAAACGAAGCCGCGGGGGACCTCGGCTCCGAGCAGCTCCCTGTGTGGAGTTAGCGTAGCGAAATAGTAGTTCTTGTTGGCTTCTAGCTATGGCCAGCTATGGCTGTTTCCAAAGATTGAATCATTTCAACATATGGCTATGGGCCAAAACCTACTAATCATGTGGTATAAGGGATGACCATCAACCTTGAGGTTCACTGGTACAGGCTTTTGACCCACATCCATATGTAAAACAAATCAAAACAAGTCCAATCAGATCGAATTCTCTTCACCTCCGATTGAACCCGCCCTGCAGTCGCACCATCAGACCCCCTGCAGTTGCAGCTACTTCATATGCCTGACGAAGAACCCATCGGCGCCGAGCGGTCGGACACCTCGGTCGAACCAGGTAGGTGATGAAGAGGCAAAACATGGAGAAACCAAAAGCTTCAGACAATTTCGGATGGGCTTCCTATTGAAAACATGTAATAAAGGTATAAAGATGAACAGATGGGTTTCCAACGTAAACATAAGAAAATTAGATGAGTTTCCCTATGAAAAATGAGGGCTAAAACGAGAACCGTAGCATTTTGGAGTGTCTTTTGGAGTGTCAAATGGTTCACGTCCAAGGTCTGATACACCAGAATCGCAGATGATGCCAGTTTTCCACCCAAAGGCGCCGGAGGACAGAAAGGGCTGGATATGATCCCAGTTTCATCATTTGGACTCCATTGGACCTCGATGTGTAAAAGACATTCTGTGACCCCGAAAAAAGTGAGAAATCTATGGAAATCTTCCAACCTCATCCTGGTGATCTCCAGTTCCAGGGGAGTGTGAAACTGTGCACAGATTTCCCGGCTTTGATCCCCCAGCCAGGAGCAAATGGAGATGCTACAAGAGTAGCTGGTCAGCAGTGAAGCTACGGAAATATCTCGGCCATTGATGATATATCGAGAATGCGGTCAGCTTTGATGTAATGATTGTAGTGATTCATTTGTATCCCTGCAAGCTTGCACAATGCTTCAGCTTTTGTCTGGACTTGGGAAGTCTTGTGGCCTCACAATTCTGCGTTTGTGACTGTCACTTTTCTGCACCTGGACTTATTTGTTGGACTTGTTGGACTATCCTTTTTCGGAGATTTGGTTTCACCCTCGCCTTCCTCATGTGAAGTGATCTGCTAAGGCAGCAACAGCAACTGCAGCAGCAGATGCAACAGCAGCAGCAACAACAGCAGCAACTGCAGCAGCAGATGCAGCAGCAACAGCAGTTGCAACAACAACAGCTGTTACAAATGCAACAACTTTCCCCACAACAACTGCAGCAGTTGCAGATGCAGCTGCAACAACAGATAACCTTGCAGTGGGGAAGCTAAGTGGAGCGGGTCAAGATTCACTTGGAAAGGAACCAGAACATTGAAATCAAGTGGGTGAACAGAGAACATGCCCAGAAAGGTCATTGTTGGTAAGGTAAATGATTGTTTGCCCTGCCATTTTTCCGGTAACCTGCAAAAGAAGTTAGTTGCCACATGTTGCCACAACTTGGCAACCTTAAGGACCCTTAAGGACCCTTAAGGACCCTTAAGGACCCTTGGGACCCTTGGGGACCCTTGGGGACCCTTGGGGACCCTTGGGGACCCTTGGGGACCCTTGGGGACCCTTGGGGACCCTTGGGGACCCTTGGGGACCCTTGGGGACCCTTGGGGACCCTTGACCCTTGGGACCCTTGGGGACCCTTGGGGACCCTTGGGGACCCTTGGGGACCCTTGGGGACCCTTGGGGACCCTTGGGGACCCTTGGGGACCCTTGGGGACCCTTGGGGACCCTTGGGGACCCTTGGGGACCCTTGGGGACCCTTGGGGACCCTTGGGGACCTTGGGATTGGCGATTTGAAATTCCATGGCTAATTCTGAGCTGCTGAAAGTCTCAGGAACCAAACTTCCAACAACCAGATGAACGATCAGCCTTTGCAGCGAATGCTCTTAAATGTGTGGCATCCCAGTCTGGAGCAACAAACGAGATGTATGATGTATATGATGTATGAAGATCTGATCTACCGAAAGGGACAGTTTCATGAAATTTGATGAAAATTGTAAGTCCCCCGAGTTGTGAAGACATTGGCGCAGATGAGACTTTCTTTTGGCGCCAGGGCATATACACATAGCACTTTTGGATCAACCTTTGCTACCTTTGCCTCTGGCCAGGCCTCTGCTACGGCCAGTTACATGGCGCAAACGGAGGTGGGCTGATGTAGATAGACCCTGGAGGGATCTCCCCAAACCTGAGTCGGGATGAGTGGTTTGTGGATTTGGGCCCCAGGTGTTGAATGGATGCTGAATGTTTTTTCCCCAAACAGTTTACTGTTGGGGTTCCCAATTCTCTTTTTAAGAGGTGTCCGGATGTCTGTCTTCACTTGTCTCCCAGAAAAAAATGGTAAAAGGGGGATGCTAGGACGCGTGGGGGTTGTGTGTTGGTTGTTATGTTTTTATGTTGATGTCCAATGTTTCTTCCTTACCATTGATGTTTTCTGTGCTGGGGATTTTGGGACAATTTTACCCCGAACCTTCACTTCATTGTTTGGTTTAAGATGAGGGGGAGAATTGTTGTTGCTGTTGAAGTTTTATGTTCCTTGGGTTTGTTTCTTCTGGTCGGTGGCTTCTCCTCTCGACATCTTCATCAAGTTCTTCGTGCAAATTGCCTGGGCACCCAGACCTTCGGAATTGGGACGGGAATGAATTTGCGAAGATGCGTATTCATGCAAGATGTTGTAGTTTGGATTCATGCAAGATTATTGCAGCTGACTCTCTCTCAGACGCGTCCTTGTATAGTGATACAACCTTTGGACCTGCTGCAAAGAATCAATTCTGCACTCATGGCAGCAATTGGTATAGTGTTTGGACGTTTCCGTACTCAAATCTGAGGCCTGATATATAGGTTGGTGAGGTGCCAGACAAGCATCACGTGTTCAGCAGCTTGAGAAAACAACACTTCGCGTTTCACCCGGGCGGTTGTCGTTGCATGTCGTTGCAATGGCAAATGAGAATGATTGGCCAAGAATTTGCCCGAGAGACGGCACAGCCAAGTGGAGCGACAACAGTTCACTGCCAGGCCTTGTAGCTGGAGAGGACTATGAAAACTGCGTTAGATTCAGACTAACAGGTTCTGAACGCAAACAGGATGCAGCACGAGTTGAGGCCTGGCTTAAAGAGGACCAAATCATGTCACTGCGGGAATTGGAGCAGGAAGCGGCCGAGGCTTCGAAGAAAAATGTTGGGTGGAAACTACAGCAGCGATTGTTTGGCACAACAAAAGAAAGTCAAGCAGGCTCCAATTATCGTGTAGCGGAGGCTGACGCGGTGCTAGAGGAGGAAAAAGACCTGGTTCAAAGCTTGGGCGAGGGTGCAGAGTTACTGCATGGAAGTGGAAGCGCCCCAGCTCATACAGTTGTGGAAGCCACAAACCATGGTGCCCTTTTCTACCGCAAGTGCTTCCAGCTTGAGAAATACTTGACCATGTGCGCAGCAGTGGATTGCTTGCCCCCAGCTGCAGTACTCGTGATCAACAAGAAGCCAATTCGGTGCAGCGAGGAGTGGCTACAGGCCATCAACAAGTTCCCTGTCCTGAAGGATTTGCCTTTCAGTATTCTGTATTTCCCGCATTCCCTGAACATTACACAGCACCAGCAAAGAATTGCAGAGAAAGATCAGATGATCGCAGAGATGATCGCAGAGAAAGATGAGATGACCAAGCGGATAACCTTTCTTGTGTTTTGTCTCGTCCTTTTGGTGGCATATCTCTTGCGCATTCAGTTGTTTACCGCAAGTGCACCTCGCGGGGAGCTTTGATTGTGTTTCACAGCCCATACAGAGGTGCCAAAACGGAGAGTTGGAAAAGGTCGAATACTTACCCTATGAACACCCGCTATTTTCACAAGGATCTTCACCAGAAATCTTACAAACCCTTTCACAATTACGGAAACTGTTCACGAAGTGGGTGGAAGCCCTTTAACTACGTACGTCAAACCAGCCTTTCACCAAGGGGGTGAAAGCACCTTTCAACCTTTCACTGGGTAGGTGAAGAGACCTTTTAGAAAGGAATCTTAACCATTTTGGAGGGTTCTTTCACCCTTTCACTGGAACACATTTCACCCCTTCACCTGACCCCCTTTCACCTATCCAATTTCCATTGAAATGCTTTCCAAATCGGATTTTTGACCTGTCCATTTCTCCCACGCCGAGGTTGTGAAGACAACACTGAACTGACCTATGCAAAGGTCAATCCCAGCGTTTTTCAAAGCCTGATTTTTGCTGAGAACTTCAACCGTAGCCTTGAAAGAAATGAACCTGTCAAACAGTCTTCAGACCTTGACATTTTTTCAATACAGTTTCAACCAGAACCTGGAACAGATGACACTGACAAACATTTTTCCCACACCTCATTGGAAATATGATATATATTAAGAACATACCCACATATTCCACACACACATATACAATATTTTGTCCTTACCCCATTGTTCAACCTGACCTGTCAGAAGGGACGTCGAGGAATTCATCACGCGTCGGGCACTTGTTTTTTCTTTTTAGGGTTTAGTGTAGTATTATATAATTTATAGAAGAAAGAAGAAGAAGGAGGGAAAAAATCCAACACTTGGAGGGGGAGCGAACCGCTCTGGATTGATGCTGATGACGAAGGTACACCCCCCAGTGTTGGTGGCGGATTTTGAACTGATTATTTGTATTGGTGTTGCGGTTCAATTTGAAATTCTTGTAGAAACTTCGTATAGGCTTCACCCATAAAATCTATGAAAAAACCCTCACCAGACATATATTCTGACATTAAAAAATCTTTCAATCCTCAATTGACATAAATTCTGACGGGACAAATGTTTCTACATCCAGTTGTATTGAAAAATGACTATACCAAGTCCCTCGGTTTCAACACAAAACCCCCAAAAATACTTAAAGACATACCGCCTCATATAATTATAGAATGGGCTAGCGCCCAGGTGCCGCCGACCCCCCTCTATTTGGGGGGCACTGTGGGGAGAGAGAGAGAGAGAGAGAGACAGACAGAGAGGGAGAGGGAGAGGGAGAGGGAGGGATAGATAGATAGATAGATGGATGGATGGGATGGAGTGGATGGATAGATAGATAGACAGACAGACAGACAGACAGGTAGACATGTGAATAGATAGAGAGATTGACAGACAGACAGATGGGTAGTTGGATAGATAGATGGGTAGAAGGATAGATAGATAGATGGATGGGTGGATGGATAGATAGATAGATGGATAGATAGATAGATAGATAGATAGATATATAGATAGAGGGAGAGAGAGATAGATCGATGGATAGATAGAGGGATAGAGAGAGAGAGAGATAGATTGATAGATAGGTAGATAGACAGTTAGATAAACAGGTGGATAGATCGATTGTTGGACAGATGGATAGATAGAGGGACAGAGAGAGAGAGAGAGAGAGAGAGAGCGAGAGAGAGAGAGAGAGAGATGACAGATAGGTAGATAGACTGGATAAACAGATGGATAGATCGATTGTTGGATAGGTAGATAGTGGCATAGGGAGAAAGACGGATGGATTGATATATACCTTGAGTGTCAAGGACCCTCCGTTTTTAGGACTGTCATTGTAACCCCATGTTTTTAGTCCTTTTGTGAGTTTGTGGGGTAACGTAATGAAAGATACATATTCATAGATACACCACAAATATGTTCCCATATATAATCCACATATAACCCCAGATATCATCGTATACAATCGGCATATTATATAAACCAGATATCATCTACATATATAATCCACATATATAATTCACATAATGTACAAACCACATATTGTATAATCCATATAATTCACATAAATAATCCACATTTGGAGGGACCCACAGTGAATATGAGGAATTCCCACTCTATCCCATTGATAAGTTTACGGTGTCCAGCGACTCAGCTTTGAAAGCCTATAAAAAGCCATTGCTGTGGCCTTGGCCCTGGGGTGCCTGTTCGGGAAGTGGCCTTGGCTGGGGTGCCTGCTGGGGACGGTGTTTGGAGGGTTTGAAAGGTTTTGGAGGGTTTGCGGGCTGGCAAACGGCAGCTTTGAAAGCCTATAGAAAGCCATTGCTGTGGCCTTGGCCCTGGGGTGCCTGTTCGGGAAGTGGCCTTGGCCTTGGGGTGCCTGCTGGGGACGGTGTTTGGAGGGTTTGGAAGGTTTTGGAGGGTTTGGAGGGTTTGGAAGGTTTTGGAAGGTTTGGAGCGTTTGCGGGCGGGCAAACGGCAGCTTTGAAAGCCCATAACGGCAGCTTTGAAAGCTTATAGAAAGCCATTGCTGTGGCCTTGGCCCTGGGGTGCCTGTTCGGGAAGTGGCCTTGGCCCTGGGGTGCCTGCTAGGGACGGTGTTTGGAGGGTTTGGAGGGTTTTGGAGGGTTTGCGGGCTGGCAAACGGCAGCTTTGAAAGCCTATAGAAAGCCATTGCTGTGGCCTTGGCCCTGGGGTGCCTGTTCGGGAAGTGGCCTTGGCCCTGGGGTGCCTGCTGGGGACGGTGTTTGGAGGGTTTGGAGGGTTTTGGAGGGTTTTGGAGGGTTTGCAGGCTGGCAAACGGCAGCTTTGAAAGCCTATAGAAAGCCATTGCTGTGGCCTTGGCCCTGGGGCGCCTGCTGGGGACGGTGTTTGGAGGGTTTGGAAGGTTTTGGAGGGTTTGGAGGGTTTGGAGGGTTTGGAAGGTTTTGGAAGGTTTGGAGCGTTTGCGGGCTGGCAAACGGCAGCTTTGAAAGCCCATAGAAAGCCATTGCTGTGGCCTTGGCCCTGGGGTGCCTGTTCGGGAAGTGGCCTTGGCCCTGGGGTGCCTGCTGGGGACGGTGTTTGGAGGGTTTGGAGAGTTTTGGAGGGTTTTGGAGGGTTTGCGGGCTGGCAAACGGCAGCTTTGAAAGCCTATAGAAAGCCATTGCTGTGGCCTTGGCCCTGGGGTGCCTGTTCGGGAGGAAGTGGCCTTGGCCCTGGGGTGCCTGCTGGGGACGGTGTTTGGAGGGTTTGGAGGGTTTTGGAGGGTTTTGGAGGGTTTGCGGGCTGGCAAACGGCAGCTTTGAAAGCCTATAGAAAGCCATTGCTGTGGCCTTGGCCCTGGGGCGCCTGCTGGGGACGGTGTTTGGAGGGTTTGGAAGGTCTTGGAGGGTTTTGGAGGGTTTGCGGGCTGGCAAACGGCAGCATTGAAAGCCTATAGAAAGCCATTGCTGTGGCCTTGGCCCTGGGGTGCCTGTTCGGGAAGTGGCCTTGGCCCTGGGGTGCCTGCTGGGGACGGTGTTTGGAGGGTTTGGAGAGTTTTGGAGGGTTTTGGAGGGTTTGCGGGCTGGCAAACGGCAGCTTTGAAAGCCTATAGAAAGTTATTGCTGTGGCCTTGGCCCTGGGGCGCCTGCTGGGGACGGTGTTTGGAGGGTTTGGAAGGTTTTGGAGGGTTTGGAGGGGTTGGAAGGTTTTGGAAGGTTTGGAGCGTTTGCGGGCTGGCAAACGGCAGCTTTGAAAGCCCATAGAAAGCCATTGCTGTGGCCTTGGCCCTGGGGTGCCTGTTGGGGAAGTGGACGGCCTTTGGCCCAGGCGTGGCATGCTGGACAAGGTGTTTGGAGGGTTTGGAGGGTTTGGAGAGTTTTGGAGGGTTTTGGAGGGTTTGGCGGCCGGCAAATGAAGCCTATAGAAGCCATTGCTGTGGCCTTGGCCCTGGGGTGCCTGTTCGGGGGAAGTGGCCTTGGCCCTGGGGTGCCTGCTGGGGACGGGTTTGGAGGGTTTGGAGGGTTTGGAGGGTTTTGGAGGGTTTGCGGGCTGGCAAACGGCAGCTTTGAAAGCCCATAGAAAGCCATTGCTGTGGCCATAACGGCAGCTTTGAAAGCTCATAGAAAGCCATTGCTGTGGCCTTGGCCCTGGGGTGCCTGTTGGGGCAAGTTCCACACCTGCAGTGGTCCCAGGCGCCGCCCCGGCCTTGGCGAAGGCCGGGGTCGGCGGAAAAAGACGCTGCCACGGCCTCAGGGACTTGTTGGAGCTGCAGGAAAGGTCTGCCGCGGCCTGAGTGGCGCCTGGGAGCTGCAGGGAAGGGTTTGGGGAGTTTGAGGGCTGGCAAACGGCAGCCTTGAACGTCCATAAAAAGACGCTGCCACGGCCTCAGGGACTTGTTAGAGCTGCAGGAAAGGTCTGCCGCGGCCTGAGTGGCGCCTGGGAGCTGCAGGGAAGGGTTTGGGGAATTTTGAGGGCTGGCAAACGGCAGCCTTGAACGTCCATAAAAAGACGCTGCCACGGCCTCAGGGACTTGTTGGAGCTGCAGGAAAGGTCTGCCGCGGCCTGAGTGGCGCCTGGGAGCTGCAGGGAAGGGTTTGGGGAGTTTTGAGGGCTGGCAAACGGCAGCCTGGAACCTCCTTAAAAGGACACTGCCACGGCCTCAGGGACTTGTTAGGAGCTGCAGGAAAGGTCTGCCGCGGCCTGAGTCGCGCCTGGGAGCTGCAGGGGAGGGTTCGGGGAGTTTTGAAGGTTGGCAAACGGCAGCCTTGAACCTCCTTAAAAGGACACTGCCACGGCCTCAGGGACTTGTTGGAGCTGCAGGAAAGGTCTGCCGCGGCCTGAGTGGCGCCTGGGAGCTGCAGGGGAGGGTTTGGGGAGTTTTGAGGGCTGGCAAACGGCAGCCTTGAACGTCCATAAAAAGACGCTGCCACGGCCTCAGGGACTTGTTGGAGCTGCAGGAAAGGTCTGCCGCGGCCTGGGAGCTGCAGGGAAGGGTTTGGGGAGTTTTGAGGGCTGGCAAACGGCAGCCTTGAACGTCCATAAAAAGACGCTGCCACGGCCTCAGGGACTTGTTGGAGCTGCAGGAAAGGTCTGCCGCGGCCTGAGTGGCGCCTGGGA